GGGTTTCGGTGTATTATCTCGGTCTGTTCGATGTTCAGGAGGGATATCCGTCCAGAAATGGAACTGGCAACATGTTACCATCTCTCCTCGGGGTGAACGTGATGACATTTCTATTCGCACAGTTTGACCGGTACTTTGCCGTTTGTCATCCGTTCATCTACACGCGCTATATAACCCGGCGGGTGGTTATCTCTGCAAACGTCTTTTGTTGGTTTCACGTCTATAGTCAGTCGACCGTTTTAAGTTTTGTGCCACTTTCCAAAGCGTTAGAGCTGTATGTTTTCAGTATTTTATTCTTACAAATCATCGTGCTCACCAAAGTGGTCATGACCGTCAAACTGTTCGTGGTCGCCAGATTCCAGCTCGACAAAGAGCCTCCGGGCGCCGACAAAGAGAGCAAGAAGGAATCGTTGAGGATTATTATTTTCGTCATCGTAAGCTTCTTGGTGTTGTGGCTCCCCTCTTTTTTAAACATCATCATCAGATTTGTGTTAGGAAGAGGGCTGACGTTTAGGAACGAGGCCACTAATCTGTTCGCCATCATGGCTCGCTTCAACGCGGTGTGCACGCCGTCCGTGTACATCTGGGGGAGTCCGTCTCTGAGGGAAGCTCTGGTCAGGACTGTGTGGGGCAGAGTGTGTCCGAGATGTAGAAGGAGGTAATGAGGGGGGGGGGGGGACACTGTGCGGAACCGCACGCAAAATGCACTATAATGTTCAACCTGTTTTTATCTGTGATTTGATTTAGTTGCAGCTATTGCTCCTTATTGTACATCTTTCTTTAGAGTCGGCTCCTGTCACGGGAAGGAAAATACCAACAAGTGATGGAAATAAGAACCAGAGGCCTCCATTCAGCATGTTATTCTCATCTACTTCAACTGTCTTCTTTGTTTTGCTCTCTCTCTCTCTGTCTTTGAATAATTTCGATTGAAAACATACAGCCTATACTCAAACTACAGTCAAAAAGTGTATTATGCAAACGCTATATTCTGCAATTTTTCCATATTTTCATTCATTTTTTTTCATTTTATCCACACCGGAGGCAAACAAATTAAAAAGGAATTTCAGACAAAGTGGGAAATATGAAAGATTTCAATTTGAAATAGATTAAAATAATTTGCTCTCATGATGTGTAGATGGGTTTAGATGACAGCCAGGCTCCAGGTGATATCTGCTCAGATGAACATGACCAATGAACAACTCCGTGTAGTGAGATAATGAGCTTTAGCTGAAAGAAAATGATGTTGTTGTTTTTTTATCACTGATGCTTCCGTTGTGTTTTCGGCCGGGGTAAACTCCGTGCAGCTTCATTTGCTGCTTTCAGCGGTGTCGCTGTCCGCTGCTGTGGTGCTGAATCACAGCTATAGGCCTATTTTTTTACGGCTGCAACCTGCAAACCTGTCTCCTAAAAATCACGTTCCCCCAAAATTAAAATGCATTCTCAATTAGGTTTGACTAGAAACGTATTTTCTCCCTTTTCTCCCTGATTACGTTTGTGTTTGACGTATTACAAATACGTTTCTAATCAACATTTTAACACTTTAACCTTTTTTTCCCTCTCCACCACCGCCTCTCCTTCGCACTATTACGCGGTCAGAATAACACCACAACACGCAGCCTGTCTCCGGCAGAAATGTGCACATCCACGCCTGGGAACAACACCGAATTGTCGGCCGAGATACCACCAAAACACGCCGCCTGTCTCCAGCAGAAACGCGCTCATCCAGGCCGAGCAACGAGGAACATTAAGCGGCTACAATACCTCCACAAAGGCCCGCGGGTAAAATCCGTGACTAACCGTGACTCTCGGGTTAGGTTTGGGTGGGGACGTGGCTTCCTAGTGGAAGCTATGGTTAGGGTTAGGGCAGGGTTAGATAGATACAAATAAATAAAATATACCTCCACAACACCCCACCACTCTCGGCTCATTCCTCCCCAGCAACGAGGCACATCACCCGGCCACAATACCTCCAGAACGTCCCCCGGGTGAAATCCGGGACTTGGTTTTATGGTTCCGAGTTTCGGACGCTCACCCGTTGGTGCCGGAGGCGCAGTCCCCACCCACCCCCGCCGTGAGGCACCCCGTCGTCAGGTCCATCAGCCCTCGGAACAGGCCGCGGGGCAACAACTCGTGGTGGCGAGGCACATCATAAAAAAATAATAAAGACTAGAGTATGGCAAAGATATATTGATTTGAAACGTATTTGGAATACGTCGAACACAAACGTAAGCACAAACGTAATTGAGAATGCATTTTAGTTTTGGGGGAACGTAATTTTTAGGAGACAGGGCTGATTTTTTAAAACACAGTATAGTAATGCAGTTTTTAGGCTGCTGTTAGGAGGAGGGGCTGACGTTTGGGAACTAGGCCGCCGATCTGTGAAAGCCACGGTGAGGACTGTGCGCATGGGCAGAGCGTGCCCAAGAGGTAAGAGGTTCAACGGCCCGTTACTGCAAAGACGATGTCATTCTTTTCTCTCAGCAGTAAAGTTGCCATGCATGGAGTTGAGTCGGCTTGAGACCTGTCGGTGAGGGGACGCGGCAAAGGAAGGAGTTGTGAAGATCCAGTGTCCGTGAAAAAGATGAGTTAACCGAGGACTCCGTCAGCAGCTTTAGTGCAATAATTCGGTGATGAACGGACTGTATGAAGATGACTAAAGAAAGACATGAACAAGAGTTAATCTGCAAAGAGCTCAAGATCCGTTAACGTCATTTCCACCATATTCCGAAGACAGTAAAATAAGTCAAAACTATTAAAAAATGCCAGCTGTATCGCTCTTCATATATACTGCTCTGTTGAGGGCAACTCTGGGATATTCAAACTATTTTTTACCAGCCTCCAAATGAATTAATTTACCTCAGGCTTCATCCACACGTTTCAGCACCGTTCTTAACTTTAATACAGATACTGTGACGCAGAGAGCCCACGTGAACCCCAATCAAACCGACCTCATTACCACATAACAGTCACCCGTATACCTTTTTAATGGGACGACGGCATTACTTTTGCCTCGTGCTGTGCCAGATGCCAGGCCGATTGGCACGAGGTCATTGTGGACAGCTCCCGGTGCTGAAGTTGCGTCGAAAAACAGATCAAATAAAGAGTACAAGTTCATTTAAATAAAACATACCTCGTTTGAAATAGAGTTTGAATTCCACAACGATATCTAAAAGAAGAAACAGATTAAACGTCCCACAAACACAAATGATGACGAGGTTCAATTATTTACCATCAGATTTGCTGGCATTGGCAGATTAGATTAACACTATTGTCCATTAGTCTCAATATTTTATTTTGTACATGTTTTAATTGGTTATGTCACTGTGTTCAATGACGTCTCTGGTGAAAAATAAAACATCCCTGCATTTTGAACTTTAAGAGGAGGAGAACTTCTGGAGGCTGCTGCTTCCTCCTGCTTAAAGAGACCACACAGCTCCATGAACTATTAACGCATTAATGTAAGGCATTCTATTCAGAAGTGTATACACTGTATCAGGTTCAGTTAGCTTAGAAACATATTTCAACACTAGCGAATGTCTTATATTCAGCTGAGTAAAAGCCCAACGTTGCTGCACGTGAGGGTGAAAAAAAGACAAAGCAAAAGTTCTGAGCAGGACTTCTGCACGTGGCTCGTGTTAAAAGGGGGGAAAACAATATTAGATTTAATATTGAGGACTCTTCTTGATAATAGTCCCTTTGCTCAAATTTAGTTGTATGAAAGTAATTAACTCAGTTGTGTTAAGAAATTGCCAGAAAGCAAATGTTGGAGCAGGTTTGAGAGGGAAACACTGTACAGAAGAGAAAGAGGCTCTAAAGGGGCCCAGCAGATTCATGCGAAATAAAATAGTATTCTTTTTCTAAGACGTTTTTTTAGACATACTAGACTGACATTTTAAAATAATGTTAGTATCACATACTATACTTTTTACATTCGTTTGACATTCTATACAAGTACGTTTTTAAACATAGTATACTATGACTATTAATTGCGTTGTCTTTGACTTATGACGTGTATTCGATACTATGACTTTTTCTCAATATAATTAAATTTTTTCGGCCTATACCTTTTTTACGTTATTTTCGACACATTATGGCGTGACTTTCTATAAAGGGTTCAGAATATTATTGTGTTTTCTTCCATACAAAACTTAGACTTTTTACTATACTATGACTGTTTTGACGTACTATTATCAATTATTTCTGTCCCTGTTTTATAATATCCATTAAAAAAAATCGGAATTCTCTGAAAAATCTGAATAATCAAATGGAAAAACTGAAGGAAAACAAATGACTCTACTGTTAAGAGTTTATTTGACAAAGCCTAAATAAATGGGAAAAAAATAATTAAATGTCTGTCATTATTTAAAAAGTTTAAGCTTAAACATTGATATGGAAAGTGAGATGAGGTCATGCCTCATGGGGTAAAAAACAGTTCAGTTCACATGGGCAGTGGCTTCACAACCAGCTATAAAAGGACGTTAAATAAAAAAGCGCATTTTTGGAACAATGCTCCTCCCCAACATCATAGACTCTGGAGGAGTTCCTCTCTCTCGGTGAACTTCGACAGTCCTGTAGATTTTCTCATTTTTGGTTTTCACATCGTCTTCGCTACAACCGTGGTTCTGGTAGCCGGTCCCGTGGTCGTCACCATCTTGGCCACCAGAGCCCTCCGCCTCCAGAACCGGTTCATTTTCATGCTGAACACCAGTATTGCTGACACTCTGGTCGGGGTTTCGGTGTATTATCTCGGTCTGTTCGATGTTCAGGAGGGATATCCGTCCAGAAATGGAACTGGCAACATGTTACCGTCTCTCCTCGGGGTGAACGTGATGACATTTCTATTCGCACAGTTTGACCGGTACTTTGCCGTTTGTCATCCGTTCATCTACACGCGCTATATAACCCGGCGGGTGGTTATCTCTGCAAACGTCTTTTGTTGGCTTTACGTCTACACCCAAACGATCGTCATAAGTGTTTTGCCACTATCCAACGCATTCCAGATGTACGTGTACGGCATTGTCAGCTTACAAATCATCGTGCTCACCAAAGTGGTCATGACCGTCAAACTGTTCGTGGTCGCCAGATTCCAGCTCGACAAAGAGCCTCCGGGCGCCGACAAAGAGAGCAAGAAGGAATCGTTGAGGATTATTATTTTCGTCATCGTAAGCTTCTTGGTGTTGTGGCTCCCCTCTTTTTTAAACATCATCATCAGATTTGTGTTAGGAAGAGGGCTGACGTTTAGGAACGAGGCCACCAATCTGTTCGCCATCATGGCTCGCTTCAACGCGGTGTGCACGCCGTCCGTGTACATCTGGGGGAGTCCGTCTCTGAGGGAAGCCCTGGCCAGGACTGTGTGGGGCAGAGTGTGTCCGAGATGTAGAAGGAGGTAACGGGGAGAGGGTCACTCTCATGGTCAACCTATTTATCTATAAATGTCTTATAATCTAAACCTCATTTTATGTCTGCCCTTTTTTTCTTTAGAGTCGGCTCCTGTCACGGGAAGGGAGTTGAAAAGGCATTGAAATAACAACCCGAGGACCACCAGCTGATCAACTGTTTATTTTGCCTCCCTCTCTCCCTCTCTCCCTCTCTCCCTCTCTCTCTCTCTACTTAATCCTACCAGAATAATTTGGATTTAAGCAGTGGCGGGCCTTGCATTTTATACCTGGGCCTTCACTGCTGTCCTGCAGCTGAAATACCACCTTATAACCACATTGTGGCGCCACAGCTGTTATTCATTTTTAAGGCTGTAACTATGTACATCTTCGTATTAAACCGTTCGGTACAAGTCGTCTGAATAATGCTAGAGCATTTAGAAAATGCAAAAGCCTAAATTCAGGAAAATATAATGTTCTCAGCTGGTCTGGATGTGGGATCCACAGTCATTCCTTAATGACAAGCGCGACCCAAAGAGATTAACATTGGATTTTACTTTCACAACTTCAGCGTTGAACGTACTGCTCTGCAGTGTCTTTCCTCGGCTCAGGTTCCTCTATCATCGTGTATCTCACTCAGTCAGAATGCATTTTGATTGGCTGAGCTGCATCAAGTGATGTGATTCACTACCCATCAGCCTCTGCTGGCTGTTAAATTTCGTTTCACGATAGTCACGTGCTCGCCCACTGACCAATCACAGCACACTCTGCACCTCGCGGGAAAGCTACACACGGGACACTGGCGGCATGTAATGCTGACGTCATTATAGGCTGGCGCGCAGGCTCTGATAGTTAAAGAATACGCCCAACATGTCAAATTAAAGATCTGATTGGTTGAAGACTATGACAATCAACAATATCGTCCCCATTTACTTTAATCTGCACTGGCTGCAGGTGAGACTCTGCAGGCCTCGGGCCTCTCTTCTTACCTAGAGACACAGAGGTGAAATCTGATTGGATAAATGCTCTACTTAAAACAAGCTGCACTGGAAGCAGAGCAACTGAGGAAGACAGTAGCTGTGCAATGAGAAAATAAGACAATGGGAAAAATATTTTTTATAAATTATAATACATGTAGTGTATTTAAGAAAAATTATTAAATTATAAAATAGATTTTTTTTTTAAATATATATAGCTTTGTGATTCTGTTTAGGCCAGCAGAGAAGGCCTTGCAGGCCCTGTCGGCCCGCCACTGGATTTAAGCCTATGCGAGTTTTTGACTAAACACTGCTTCCTTCTAGATTTTACGAGGTCTCACTGTGGCCCATCAGTCCTGAAACAGCTCATATTAAATGTTAAATGATATGCTGTGGTCTGAGGTTTAGTGGTGCGCTGTAGACTAATGCCAGCTGCAGCCGCCTTGAAATTAGAAACATTATAGTAAAGATGTCAAAAAGTGTAAACTATTTAATAATCTATATATCTATATATATTTTTACAAGTTGACATTTACATATTTTAATTGCTCTGATAATGTGAGGGTACAGGTGGGCAGATGAACATGACAAGAGAAGAACTCGGTGTAGCCTACTGAGCTAAGGAACATAAATTGACGGAAAAACATTGTTTAAAATGTATTTATTTTGTATCACTGATGCTTCCATTATGTTTTCCCATCATTTCCCACATAGGTTCGTTTGTACGTTGCTGTCAGCAGTGTCGCTGTCCATACTGCTGTGGTGCTGAATCGCTATAAATCCTGTTTAAAACACAGTAAAGTGCAGAGTCATATCATATTTGGCTTTTGTGGTCCATCCATCCATTTTCCACCGCTTATCCGGGGTCGGGTCGCGGTGGCAGCAGGTCAAGCAGGCCGACCCAGACCTCCCTCTCACCGGCAACATGTTCCAGCTCATTCTGGGGGATCCCGAGGCGTTCCCAGGCCAGCTGGGAGATGTAATCTCTCCAGCGTGTTCTGGGTCTTCCCCGGGGTCTCTTCCCAGTTGGACGTGCCTGGAAAACCTCCAGTGGGAGGCGTCCAGGAGGCATCCTAATTAGATGCCCGAACCACCTCAGCTGACTCCTTTCGACGCGAAGGAGTAGCGGCTCTACTCCAAGCTCCCTCCTGATGACCGAGCTCCTTACCCTATCTCTAAGGCTGAGCCCGGCCACCCTACGGTGGAAACTCATTTCGGCCGCTTGTAGCCGCGACCTTGTCCTTTCGGTCACGACCCAGAGTTCGTGACCATAGGTGAGGGTAGGAACGTAGACCGAGTGGTAAATTGAGAGCTTTGCCTTCCGGCTCAGCTCCCTCTTCACCAAGACGGTTCGGTGCAGCGCCTGCTTTACTGCTGCAGCTGCACCGATCCGTCTGTCGATCTCCTGCTCCATCTTACCCTCACTCGTGGACAAGACCCCGAGATACTTGAACTCCTTCGCATGAGGTAGGCACTCCGTCCCCACTTGGAGGGAGCAATCCACCGGTTTCCGGCAGAGAACCATGGCCTCAGATTTGGAGGTGCTAACTCTCATCCCCGCCGCTTCACACTCGGCTGCAAACCGCCCCAGTGAATGCTGGAGGTCACGATCCGAGGAGGCTAACAGGACCACATCATCTGCAAATAGCAGAGAGGCGATCCCGAGACCCCCGAGACTGACGTTCTCCGCCCCCAGGCTGCGCCTAGATATCCTGTCCATGAAAATCACGAACAGGACCGGTGACAAAGGGCAGCCCTGGCGGAGGCCAACACCCACCGGGAACGTGTCTGACTTATTGCCGAGAATGCGGACACAGCTCCTACTGCAGTCGTACAGAGACCGTATCGCTCGTTGTAACGGGTCCGGCACCCCATACTCCCGCAGCACCCCCCACAAGACCCCCCGAGGGACCCGGTCGAAAGCCTTCTCCAAGTCCACAAAGCACATGTAGACTGGTTGGGCAAACTCCCAGAACCCCTCCAGTAGTCTTGCAAGGGTAAAGAGCTGGTCCACTGTTCCACGGCCGGGATGGAATCCGCACTGCTCCTCTTGAATCTGAGGTTCGACAAGCGGTCGGAGCCTCCTTTCCAGCACCCTGGCATAAGCCTTCCCTGTGAGGCTGAGTAGTGTGATACCCCGGTAATTCGAGCACACTCTCCGGTCCCCCTTTTTGAAGATGGGAACCACCAACCCGGTCTGCCATTCCATGGGCACTGATCCCGACCCCCATGCGACATTGAAGAGGCGTGTCAGCCAGGACAGCCCAACTATGTCCAGCGCCTTCAGCATCTCAGGGCGGATCTCATCCACCCCCGGCGCCTTGCCACCAAGGAGCTTTTTAACTACCTCAGCGACCTCTGCCAGGGATATGGGTGAGCCTCCCCATAGGTCCTCAGGCACTGCCTCCTCTGCAGAGGACATGTTGGTCGGGTTAGCAGTTCCCCCCCTGCTGAGAACAGCCTGGGGTAAGCCCTGCTTTCCCTTCCTGAGCCGTCGGATGGTTTGCCAGAACCTCCTTGAGGCCAACCGAAAGTCCTTCTCCATGGCCTCCCCGAACTCCTCCCATGCCCGAGTTTTAGCATTTGCGACCACCGCAGCTGCAGCCCTTCTGGCCTGCCGGTACCTGTCAGCTGCTTCAGGAGACCCCTGGGCCAACCAGGCCTTGAAGGCCTCCTTCTTCAGCTTGACGGCTTCCCTCACCTCCGGTGTCCACCACCGGGTTCTCGGGTTGCCGCCACGACAGGCACCGATGACCTTCCGGCCACAGCTCCTAGCGGCCGCGTCCACAATAGAGGCTTTGAACATGGTCCACTCGGATTCCGTGCCCCCAACCTCCCTCGGGATGTGTGAGAAGTTCTTCCGGAGGTGGGAGTTAAAGACCTTCCGGACAGGGTCCTCCGCCAGACGTTCCCAGTTCACCCTCACTACACGTTTGGGTTTGCCGGGTCTTTCCAACAGGTTCCCCTGCCATCTGATCCAACTCACCACCAGGTGGTAATCAGTTGACAGCTCTGCTGCTCTCTTCACCCGAGTGTCCAAGACATACGGCCGCAGATCAAATGATACGATTACAAAGTCGATCATTGATCTCCGGCCTAAGGTGTTCTGGTACCAGGTACACTTATGAGCCACCTTATGTTCGAACATGGTGTTCGTTATGGCCAAACCGTGGCAAGCACAGAAGTCCAATAACGAAACACCATTCGGGTTCAGATCGGGCAAGCCGTTCCTCCCAATCACCCCCCGCCAGGTTTCTCCGTCATTGCCCACGTGAGCGTAGAAGTCCCCCAGGAGAACTATGTAGTTGGTAGGCGGCGCCCTTTCCAGGACCCCTCCCACCGACTCCAAGAAGGCCGGATACTCCGAACTGCTGTTTGGTGCATAAGCACAAACCACAGTCAGAGCCTTGCTCCCCGCAACCCGTAGGCGCATGGAGGCGACCCTCTCGCTCTCCGGGGAGAACTCCAACACAGCGGCGCTCAGCCGGGGGCTCGTGAGTATCCCCACTCCCGCCCGGCGCCTCTCACCCTGGACAACTCCGGAAAAGGACAAAGTCCAACCCCTCTCCAGGAGCTTGGTTCCAGAGCCAACGCTGTGTGTGGAGGTGAGTCCAACTATTTCTAGCTGGTATCGCTCCACCTCCTGCACCAGCTCCGGCTCTCTCCCCGCTAGCGAGGTGACGTTCCACGTCCCTAGAGCTAGTCTATGCCGCCGGCGATCGGCATGCCCGGGCCTCCCGCCCGACCCACCGCCTGGTCTGCATAGCACCCGACCCCGATGCTTATCCCTGCGGGTGGTGGGTCCACAGGGTGGCTGCTCCATGGTGTTTATTCGGGCTGAGCCCGACCGTGTGGTGTTTTTTTTAAACGTATATATAAAGTGCATTCTGTTATGGTTTTGGGTTTTCCTGGTGTAGCTGCTGTTGCCCGTAAGCTTGTACACATTAACACTTTTGGTGGTGTGCGTAAAGCTGCTTTTTGTACTCGGACACCAAGTTACCACTGAGCATTTGAACATTAAATAGACAGAATGGAAAGATTAAAAATATGCACCTATCTCTAATTGTTATTAATTACTGACATGTCTTCTGAAAAAAAAAAAGACAGCAGTTTTCACTGGGTTCCTAATAACCACCACACACCTGCTATCACAGACTACACCTCTGTGAGGATCGGTGCGAGGTTGAAACATTAGTTAGATATTAATTCGTTCAGTAACCTTCCGAGTCCACAAAACTATTCATCGAGATGGAAAACACTGTTAATGAAAAGAATGCTACAATCGTGATGCAATATATTTTATTTATTATATGTATGTACCTTTTTTCTAAGAGAAAATGTAAATGAACATGGCCAACAATGGCTTTCACATTATAAGGCAATACAATTTGAAATGACAGGCTACGTTACCCATATGCTGAGTGGTAGACAAATACAGATCCTTATAAACTTCTGATTTCTACTTTAAATCCACACATGAATAAACAAATAAATACAACACTATCCTCGTCTCCTCTGCTTTCATCTACGAGTGAAGAGACCTTAAAGTAAAGCAGTACATCTCTCAGATTCAAATGTTCTCACACATAAAATATTGTAAATTTCAGCAAAAAGAAATAAGCAATTCACATTATATTCCCTAACGAAGCTCAAGCTCTCTGAAGACAAAGAAAAGTTCACATGAAGACGGGCAGAAAGCTCATTGTGGACACCAGCCCCTCCCTCCATGGAGGGGCAATAAGACAGGGGGGGGGCGGGGAAAATGACATGTTAAAGAACACTGTTGCAAGTAGCAGACAGTCCAATAAAATACAGGTGCCACGGTATAAGTCCAGTAAGTTTAATGTATCATTCTAATATCTGTACACTATCAGTACAAAACTACTGTATATTGTAAATATGACAGCAAACGACCTAAAACCTTAAATGTAATGAACTTGAAATTTAGTTGAAAATAAACCATGAAAAAAAATGCGAGAGATCAACTAAAACCAGAAATCGAATACTTGGCTCCTCCATAAGTTTCATATTTTAATGTTTTGTGCTCTAGTTTTCCAGATTCAATTTCAAAGAATCGTACTGACCTCTTTGCACGTTATTAATAAACATATACAACAATATAGAAGCAGCTACAAAATATCATTGCATGCCATATAAAATCCAAGATGAAACTATTTCTTATTCATTGATCAGCTGCCATTAATGGATGAAGACGCATTGCGACCGTGTATTTACCTTTTGCTTTATTTTTGGCAGAAGAGATTCTGCCTCTGCGCTAATATTAGTATATATGCAAAACAGGCAGAAAATGTGGGTCTTTAAAGTTGTGTACCTCAGAAAGGCAATAAATGATTTTATGCAAGAAAGAAACCCTTCATGTTTATTAACCATATGAGAAACCTTTGAGTCAGAGTGCCACCCTGTTTAACTTCATGCAAATAAGCAGTATTTATTATCATGTTACAGTGAGATGACATCCCTGGTATGTTGTAATGTACAAGAGTTAAATAAGATATGGTGTCAGGGCCTGTTTTGTTGTTGTTCTCCCCCCAAAGCCGCCTGCATAACTTGTACTATTTCACAAGGCAAAAATAAATGGTGCACTTCAATCTGATAGGAGTCATATTAACGTCAATTTTCCGGTTTCACCAACAAATCGTCCGTACAGAAGTATCTGGAGACTCATGTTAAAAACCAGCTGAGCACTGAGAATAAGCAGGCGTGTCTCTTGCTGAAGTTGCCTGTCCTCACCTGGTTCAACAACTCTGGTCGAAGAGTCCACTCGAACACTGTTGAAAGGCTCGCTCCTCATGCCTCTGGCCACATGTTTGAGCGTGACATAACCATGTGTACATATGCTAATTTGACTGGTCCACCGGCAGTGCTTGCGTATTTGTTTAACACTGAAGAATTTTTCCCTGCGAGGCTGCGGGTTCATTTCTACCACAGAGTCCACGGGGGCTGCTTGAGTGGGAACGAGGCCAACGAGGAAACATTGACAGGAATGGAAATGACAGCCCACGGCAGCGCTTGTCTCTGAAGCGATCGTCTGATCATCATCCTAGAATACATAAAAAGGGCGGGGGGGGGGGGGGGGGGGGGTTGTTAATCTCCCAAAATGTATTGCGTTAATCTAAAATAAAACAGGTCTGAATGATCCGTCTTACCCATCGCGTCCCAGCAGGAACAGGGCAGGAATGCTTGGTTTGGCAGCGCTTCCGTCGGTGATCATGTCGAGGTACTGGCTGTCATTGTCCGCTGCATCATCGGCGATCAGAACGGCTTTGCCTCCAGCTTCCTCCACGTGTCGGGCCTTTTGTACGAAGGAGCAACCTCTGCAGGGGCGCGCGCGCGCACACACACACACACACACACACACACACACACACACACACACACACAGAAGGAAGTTGTGAGGAGCCACAAAAGGCCAGCGCTAAAGGCGGTTTGATTAAAATATTCCAGAAAACCAACGTCTTCCCTGCAACTTACAACTAACTACAAGTCACTACAATTTCCCACAAGAACCCAGGTCTGCAAATGTTGTTCTCTACAGACGACTCTTATAATACACAGTAAAGCAAGGCTGTGTTTGTTTTGAGACTGGATATTTAACGGGACACATTTGATTCTTGGTATTTCTTGAAAAGCCAGAATATCAGCTTACTGCAATTTTGTTAAAATATCTTTACAACTGAAATAGTATCATTTAGGTTTAAGAGGGCTAAAAGTCAAAGCCAATATCCTGTGTTTACCAAGCAGCTTAATATTAGACCACATCTACAATGTAGACTACTAACTGACTCCATCCAAGCTGATACAGGTGAAGCAGGCACGTGCACACATACATACCCTCTTTCCACCAGCACTACTTGTCCCTGTATGATTTCTCTGTCCTCCAACTCCGAGCAGCCGTCTGCTGGGTCTGCTGGCACGAGGAAAATCTCATCGTATGATGAGGTCTGGTGGGCCAAAGGAGAGGAGAGGAACGTGATTAGGTGGTGAGCGTGCGGGTGTCTGAAGCTTTTAGAATCCCGTGGCCAACAAATGGGAAATCAGAAAAGGGCAGAGCACTAACAAAATCTCCTCCGAAGTCTTTAGCAGGTGCTGCGCTGAAGATGTACCCGATCTCCTCTGGACTGATGACCCGGAAGTAAAGCAGCTCATTAATCCCGAGACCTAGGGCAGACCAGAGAAAGACGTTAGCTGGCTTATCTCAGAGATGTGAATGACTGCATCGTCAGTATGCAGCCAGTGTTTGGTAAAACACAGCAGCGGGGTGAAATGAGATGTAAATGCACAGATATTAAACAAACAACAGCTACGACGACCCGTTAGCTAGCTAAATTAGCTGTCTACTAGCAATTGAACATTGCCCCCGCCCCCTAACTTACTCACCTGACATGCGACTGAAGTGCATAAAAACACTCAAGAGGAATACAACTAAAGCTTTCGTCCGAACAACCTTTGCCATTCTCAAGACATTTGTAGAGCTCCTCAACGTTACGTAGACGAGACTGTGCGGTATTCGTCCATGTGTGGTACTGTATGCCAGCTGTTGTTCTTTCAACAACGGAGCGGCAGGTTAGCGCCCACTTCCGCGGTTCTTTTCATGCGCATGCGTATCTCGCAAAGCCGGACTACCCTGCGAGGGGGCCGCGGGGTAAAGATGAGCCCTTGGGCCCCATTAGCCCCCTCGTTCGTTTCTACAACTATTACAACTCTCTGTGCAATATGTAGATGATAGTTTTATATTAGCAGCCAACTTGTCAACAGATTTTATGTTATGTTAGCCTGTCATAGAAAGAGAAGCACATTAAATAAATAGTTTGACATTTTGGGAAATGCACTTATTTGCTTTCTTGCAGAGAATAAGATGATATTGTTGATACCAATCTCATGTAATGTTTCTAATCTGTATGCAAAGCTAAATCAACCAGCTTCTGGGGGTCACATTTATCATGCAATCTTCTTATCTTACTTTTGGCAAGAAAGCCTTGAAACATATTTCTCAAAAGAAACGATCGCTCCCTTACAGTTTACATAGATAACAGTTATTTTCAGCTATAATTAATGTTGAGAATGTTGAATACAGCTCCTTCAAATTCAGCCACAGTGACTCTCTTCAAGTCAGAGCGTCAAAATTGGGTAATAAATATTGCAAGGCCAACCTTAAGGCACATCACCACTTGATGTTCTGATTTAATGCTGCTTTCTTTTTGTCCCAAACCAATTTTCGAAAACTCACTTGTGAAGAGGAGGGAATGGCTTGCATTTCCAAACCCTTGCAAGATTTTCATGCAAATAAAATGCAAAAAAAAACAAACTCAACTAAAAGAGTTCCTCTGTTTAGCAATAAAGTTTACATGTTAGTTATCCAGCTGATAACTAAAATAATAACCTTGAAGCCACCCTTCATATAAAATACACAGTTTAAACAAAACCTGAACAATAAGACTTTCATGAACATATAGATTTATTGCACGGCTATGAATTGCACTATCCCCAATGTTGAATCGTTTGACAAATACAATTGAATTACTTCAGAGAAATACATTAAAATCTGTGTCCACTATTCCCAGACAAAAGGTGTTTGTACACCAGCAGGATCCCAGTTGCAATGCATGTTCTTATTGAGCACATTCCTTATAAGTTGCCTGGCTCTGTTTGGCATCTTTTTTCCTTTTTTTCTTTTGTTTCTTCTTGCAGTTGTCCAAGTATCCAGATGGCAACTCTGGGCAGCAGGATTTTGCTGTGTTTTTGCATTTGCATAGGTTCCCTCTTCTCACCTGCAATGAGTTAAATGACAGATTAGGGTCTGAAACAATGACAAGAACATTGACTAAGAAATGCATACAAACTGTAATGTGTAAAATGAAATTAGTCTCTGCAAGTTCTGACTATAAATATCAAGAATGACTCCTGTTACAGAACTTTAAGAGTGACTGTTTGGTCACTTTCACGCTGAGCACGCTATTTGTCATTTACTGCTCAAGCTTCAAGCCAGCTCAGCTCCAGGTGTGTCTTTGCGAGGCTCTCAGATAAAGAGGGCTTTGCCTGTTAATGAGCTGTCAGCCAATATATTGATTTTTACTTTTTAAGATTTGGGAGTATCTAAACCAAATGTTAAATTATTTTGAATGTTCTTCTTTCGGAGTGTTAACCAGTTTCAGTGAATATTAGATGGAAAAATGTCCCTCTTAACCTGTTCATGTTATGAACTATAGGAGGAAAAAGTAAAATATAGAATTTCAGACAGCAACTGATATCATAATCACTGTTAGCTTTCAGTGCATTTGTCCTCTATAACAAATCTGGTTTGCTAGTTTTAGTTGGTGCCTTAGAGGGTCTGTGATGTCAGCACATGTGTAACTGTCGAATGATGATCTTGATGTAAAAAAGTAAAAATATTAGAATAACACTGTAGCTGAGAGTCGCTGAGAAAGAGTGTCCCGTTGTTTTCCTAACTGTCTTAGGTGAGAAATTCTTTCATTTTGTATTTCATCTTTTTACTTTTAACTTCTTCAATGTTGGATTACAAGAATTAGCAGCCAGGTATTTCATTCTAGGTTTTACTACCGAAACTAGGTGATCTTATCAAATTAATTAAAAAGTATTCATAGCTGGAAAGCTTCTATTTCTCGTTCAATACCAACTAAAAACAGTTGAATATTATAAATATGAATACGGATTTTCTTTATAAGGACAAACTTGTTTGCTGATAGATTAATTAGTGTGAATTCAAACAGGGACTAGTCATTATGATCAAATCAGACACCCATTGTACTTGTTACTGTGACCCACTAGTAGTCATTAGTAACTAAAAGTACAAGCATCATGTCTCTTCGTCTCATGCCCAGCTAGGAATATAAATAACACCCACTCAGTGACTTATGTTTCTAGTATTTTGTCCACCCCCCCATGTACATAAATGTGGACTGATACTGCATTGCATCCAATGGGGATTTCTAATTCGAGTCAGTAGTTGTGCACATGACATATAAATGAAGAAGGAACATGTATCAGGAAGGAAGCACAACGTTCTTTTAATAGCCGCTTGTTTTTGCACATGGCGCCAAACAGAATACACAGAAACGCCAACACACTTGTACAGAAATACACAGGGCCGAGAAGAGTGTCGTGAGAAAGCCTGTCTAAAAGCAGACTCAAGTGGACACTCGTGTGAAGTGAGGTAATATGTGGATTTCCTTAGATTTCAATGTCAGGAGACCCATTTTATAAGATTTGGTCTCCATAAAACCTGACATTTTTTTCTGGTTGATAAGATTTCATGTTGAATCACAGAACTGTCCCCCTATTTAGACCTCTGCTGGTTACGAGACCCCAAACTTGGGAAAGAATTTCCTTAAAAAAAAAAATCATGTCTATAATGGTGTTTGCTTTACTTTTTGTGTGTATGAGTAAGAATAAATAATAAATATTAAGAATGAATAAATAAATAGTTAAAATATATAATATAAATATAAATAATATGTATTTATATTATATAAATAATGTATATATATAATAATATTTATATATATTCTTTATATAATATAAATAGCAGTGTATACTGATCTTCTGTCCTAAAGCTTCAGTGTGCGATTGCCCCAAAGGGGAGACAGCCAGAGACACAATGAAAAACTCAGTGGGTGAGAGGATATGAGCGGACATTGTGGACATGTAAGGACGAACGACAGAGCACGAGAAGACAGCGGTGGGTTTGAAAAACATCAGTGGGTTACATTTTTCCAGGGGGTCCACTGGCTCCAGTGTGAGAGCACCAGTGAGTCTCTGGAGCGAGCCCTCAGCTTGCTGATGCCCTTCGGCAGCAGGACGGATGATGAATGTCCAAGCTAGAGTAAGACAGGTCACATGGTAAGAAAACAAAAAAACAAAAAAACAAAAAAGCAACAGAGAGACTGACGGACAACGCAGAGAATCGCTGGACTTTGTACCTTGCCATTGTCTTTCAACACGTATTGGATCTCGTGCTCCAGACTAAAGAAGCTGTGAGGGGTTGACCAGCTGGACGGTGGCTCAATGGTCACGTTCAGGTCCTCTTCCCCCTCCTGACACATCACAATCTGGGGACTGTCGGGTTGAACTGGACGGAAGACAAATAGAGCAAAAAAAAAAAGAACGAAAAGTGCATCAGTAAGGATTCAGGTAAACATGTATTTATTTACCTGCGTTCTTGTCTTATTGTACTTGAGTTCTAAATGTTGCAAGTTATTACAGCTGTTTTTGTAACTGTTATTTTTGAATATTCAATTTGACACTGAATTTTATGTAGTTATAGTTTTTATGTAGAATATATCTTTTTACGTCATCAGAAAGTGACTTTTCTGAACAATGTATCATCGGAATTCAATAATCGTTTGAATTCAAAATATTTGATTTCATCCTTCAAGATTGAATCATTTCTTTTTTCGTACATTGCGACTACAAAACTTTGTCAGTGATTTTCCTCTGATGCTCGGTTTCCTGTCCGCTTACCGATGTCCCTGAGGTAAAATTTCTTGGTCTTCCTGAGGACGGAGAGGTGGACGATGGCCTCGGCGGTGACTTCCAGCATGGTGCTCTCCTCGGCGTAGGGCGAGAGCGAGTGGGACAGCTCAAGGTGGAATCTCCCGTCCACGAGCTGATCGGCGCTGATCCAGTGACAGGACTTCCTACCTTCACTGCTACAGGGGACGAGCGGTATCAACAGATCAGAAAGGCTTGTCGGTCTATCTGTATTAACTTTTTGCAATACTTTTACTTCGTAATTTGTTATCTGAATCTGCTTTTAAAAAAAACATCTTTACCAGTCATGGCCCAGTCCAAAGCGCACCGCTGTTTGTTCACTGTGGGTGCACTCACAACTGAAGTTACAGTCGTAAGACTTTGCCCAACAAATGATGGAGAGAGAATCTACAGATAAAAAAACAACGTGAGTGAAAACCGGTTTAATAGAAATCAACAAAATGAAGAGGAAAATCTCACTAAATGCAAGACATTTACGTTGGAAGTGCATCGTAGAAGAGCTCAATAATACATCCTCCAGTGAGAGAATCATCCACATGCACAGAGTTTCCAGACTTTACACATTTTGGATGTTACAATAAGTTCCTCTATTTGAAAGGACTCTCTTGACATTTATGGCACATAAACAGCAGAAAGAACGGAAACCGAAATCGGCAGCATCTCACCTGACACTTCCTTCTTAGCCTCCAGCAGCAGATGGGTGGATGATAACATTTCCTTTCCCCTCCAGCAGCTGTATTCTCCCAAGATGGGCGTGCCCACCTCCGACAGGCCCAGGTGTGGTCCGTTCTGCTGGACGTCCTCCGGCTCCTCGCCCTGAAACTTCCACGTGATGGCTCCGGGGGCCTCCGTGCGGCAGGTCAGTGTGACTGGATTTGTGTCGTTCCTCTTCGCCACCACGACTGCCACATTTAAGAACAGGACAAGATGAACAGATTTAGAACCACTCAAGACAATTTTAAAAAATATAAAAACGTGTGGAGAGTAAATAAGACGTACAGTTTTCTGGGAAGCGGTTGAGTCCATGTGCTCCGGTGAGGCTGGCGAAGAGAAGCCCACATAACCACAGTGACAGAGTCTTCTGAGGAAACAGCAGGAAGAGGAGGAGGGGATTATTTTAAAAGATCTATTACTACCATTAAAACCTCAATAATGATCCCTTAAATTAAGGGAAAAAATGATACATTTCCAGGAGCTGAAAGCTTTTAGTTGAGAATATGTGGTATAATAATGCAAAATGACCAAAGTAGCAAAGCTGGTCCTTTACCCCCTGTTCTATTGAATCATTTACAAATTTAAAAAAAACAATTGCCGCATTAACTGGCCAGATAATAAGTACAAGAAGCATCTTTAATTCCAATAGTTATTTCTTACCATTTTGGATGAGTTTACTCTGAAGCTATACCAAAGAACATCAAATCAGGAGAGCAGAAGTTCCGTGGTCGTAATCCAGAGGATCGTATGCTGCAACTGCCCACTGAGCATCATTTATATAGTGTGGCATGCATCATCGTCATGTCACCTTTGGAAGTGTGGGGGGGGGGGGAAACTGAGCGATGTATTAAAGCTGATAAGATCTCACTGGTGGCGCATTTCCTCGACACCGTTTTGCAAGTCAAATGTCGCAGACCAAAAGTGCGAGTTTCGAGTGAGGGACGGTGGAGATGGAGATAAGAAGTGTTAGGTGTGGGTGTCCAGTAGGGCGGGGGGGGCTGCCCTCAACCTTTTAAGTTGAAACACCGCGGTGTAAGGCCGCATGTGAGATACGACGTATCTGATTACAAATCCTGGAATCATACAGAGTGCACACACACACACACATTTGATCTTTAATCTTGTATTTTTGAGGCAAATCCTATCCTCCCAACCCTGAAGTTCCTTAAAGCTTAAACCTTTTCTGTAATTTTAGTCTACAGATATCATAAAGGAGTAGAATAGAAAGTCTACAGAGATGATTGTTACGTCTCTCTCAATTCTAGTGAGCTTCCTTTTGTGGAAGTTTTGAAATCTGTTTTTAGATTCACAAATGTTGATATCATCTAAAGATCAGAGACTCGTCTGCAAGAGTCGAGCAGAAACTGACAAGCCATTAAGTCTTTGTTTTTAACCTTAGATGCCAACTGAAAATCACTAGTTGTTGCTTCTCAAATGTGAAAATGTGCAGTTTTTGTCAATGATCAAACAAATCTTTTAAATTATTTGTAGCACAAAAACAAGCAATTTCAAATATGTCAACTTGGGCTTTGGGGCATTTATCACTATTTTCGCACACTTTCTAGGACATTCAAGTGAAAATAATTAATCATCAAATGAATCAGTAATGAAAAACATCCTCATTCTGGACTCAAATCCCAGAAATTACCCAGCGTTACCTTGGGCATTTTTTAAATGATTTATCTCCTCCCCATCATTGTGAGACATTTGATGCTCCCAGTTAAAGAGCGCACACACACACACACACACACACACACACACACACACACACACACACACTAGGACTGTCCCTGCCCCGTTAGTCATGTACAGGGGGACACCCACTTTTGTCCGGCCAAATGTCACGAGCGATTTCATGCTCGAAATTTTTTATTTTTTTTTAAAAAGCACTTTTGTTCTTGTGTCCTTTTTTCCCCACTTTTTGATATTGTGTTCATCCTCATAGATCATCTGACATGTCAAACTGCGCGTGAAGCACTTCCTCAGTAAACAAAGCCTCGGAGGGCTGCGTTCGACATTTGTTTGCATCTCTGTGCTCTTGCGTCGGTCGGTGGGTAAGCACATTTTACTCCAAGTTACTTAGAATCCAGCACCTACGGTATGACAAGCATATTGTCACCGCATTATGACCTAAAATTCTGCGAAGCCTGTCTGGTCATTCGAACAGAAGTAGCTGGTTTCATGTTTCAGTTCCTTAAAGGCATAAGCAGCATTATTCATGCATCTGCTGCTAATTTAATATACTCGAATAACCCTTCTCCCTCGTCTGTATTCTCAGTATTTAACTACAAGGACTGTGGTGAATTCTCACATTATTGATAATCTATAGCTGCAACAAAAAGGTCCAGCTGTTGAATGAATGCAGAGCCGGTAAATATACGAGTTGATCTACTGATGGAGGACAGAATGGGTCACACAGGGGGTCTTGAACTGACCAGGAAGAGGCACAACTGTGTGTTGGTGGCCGGCACATTAAATACGTTGCTCTACCACTGAACAATACAATTTACAATTAGTTTAGTTTGTTTTTGTAAATATTGTTTCAGTTTTGTTTCAGTGTAGCTTTATGTCTTTTCTTCCACTCACACTTTTCAAGTCTTAAGACAGTTTTGAGTCACCCAACTTCTTCTTTTTTTTTTCCTTCATCTGAATCTGATGATTCAATGTGTTATAAATCCCCTAAAGGCCTAAACCAAAGAACCTTTTCTAAACCCGGCTCTGAGGTCACTTCGGTCCAGATGTCGGGACAGCCCGTCAAGGTTTCGATCCACCCGACCAAAAACACATCAGTGTCATATACACAGACATGCCTCATCCTATTCCGTATGGCTTCTTTTGTGCGCCTGATTCAAACCTTGGTGGATCCTTTCACATCATACTGAATGTTCACCTTCCATGACTGGTTGGCAACATATTGATCACAGACATATTGCCAGCTGATATTCAGTGGTGAATGCCAGAGATGAGGTGACCTTAAGTGCTGATGTAGGAACATTGTAATCTTCTAGAAACTTTAATCCCAGTAGGACACCGCTTCTGCCAGAGATTCTGAGATGTATAGATTTAAAGAAAAGCCATGAGGTCTTGGGCCAGCAGATTTATAGCACCTGAGATAAAACACGAGCTCCGGCTCCTGTTTTCACGACGACACACCTCTGACAGACACGTGAGAAAGAGGCTTTAGTGTTTTCTGTGACTTAATATACAGTATGTAAGGAGGAGTTATTTCCAATCTGATATCTGACAGATTGTTGAGAGAACATTGTACATGGGTATTTGGGCCTTCAGCATGGGTCACTGTGAAGAGGGGCGGGCTACAGACAGAAACTGCTATACTTTCCCTATTAGGAGAACTGGCCTGATTTCCATCACCTCAATCCCCTGTGGACATGTATTGAACTAGGACCATGAGTTTGATTATCATACCTGCAAACTCATGAGAGGTGAAAAAGGTGACAAGCCCGAAAACCCTGGTGCACGCTCCGAGAATTTTATTTTAAACATGAGCTTTAAAATGTAGCATTCTGGTGTACTCTGACAGTAAAATTAAGTGATAAGACAATATTTACTTTAAGCAAAAAACTAATTTATTATTCAGTGATTAATCAGTATTTCACCTTGAGTTGAACAGCTGGCTAGCTAGCTTTTTTTTTTTTTTTTTTCAATCAATATTATTATTATTAACCTTTATTTAGACAAAATCCATTGAGACCGAGGTCTCATTTTCAAAAGTTTTAGTCATATAAAAACAAAGATAGCAAGAGTAGCGAGAACCATCGACTGTACAAAAGAAAGTGATTAGTTTTCATTGAACCCTGTTACTGTATGACTTCATATTAAATTCCACTGTTACTGTAAAGCTGTTAGAATTGTGGCCTATCTTCTATTTGCAATTAATATGCATTCAATCCAGTTCAATTATTTAAATGAAAATGATAATCTACTCTGGCTAAGGTAGCTTATCAAGAGTAAAATAATAGCTGTGATCTATACACTCCTCTGCATTAGCAACCCGCTGAAATGAAGATACAGACACCTTCACCCTCTCATTACTTCAGGGTTCTTGGGAGCAACGTGGGACTATTGGGACTGTTAGTACACTGGCTGTGGTCATCACAGTGAACAGTGTGTACAGTGTGATGAGAGGACACGTGAGCCCTTGTTGCTGTACTTTATCTCCTTGGAGCAGAGGCTGAATTTAGCATACCCTGCCTTATCAATAAATTTAAAACACTGTGACAGCAGGAAGCTGTACTCACGTCTGTTTAGACCTCCACCTTTATCCAGGCCCAGCTCCACTCACAGCTCAGCCCTGCGTCAAGCTGCGCTACACAACCAGCCTCCTCTTCATTAAGCTCTTTGACCTCATCATCTCATCAGTATCTGGGCTTCATGTTTAGTGGTCATGAAAGTTATTCTGACCACGAAATCATCCTCATTCTACTTTGAGTTAAAACAAACAACCTGCAACCAGATCCGCTGGTGTTTCGGTTTAACGTTAATGAGTGACCGCGTGAACTGAACCGGAACACGGGGAGGGGGCTGCATGTTTCATCTCGTTACGTTTTTTTCCTCCTAAATCACGACAATGACGAACGTTATCAGTCGATGAAGTTTTGCATGCAGTGGACGTCAGCCAGCAAGTCTGAACTGTAACGGAGGGAAATGAAGACAGTGTAGACATCTTAACGCGCTGATTGGCCAAGACTCGACACGTCACATCAAAGATGTTTTATTGCGAATATCACCACATCACCTTTTCTCCTCGTCTGACTCCAATCTGAGAAACGCTGGCTGGCCAGTTGACCCCCCCACCCCCCCCCAAAAAATAACCTCTACGGATCTACACGATTCACGTGGACGATATATTTTTGATTCAAAACGGCAAATTTCGCTGATAAGTGACAAGTTCGCAGGTATGGATTATGATACAACTAACAAAATGCCTTTTTCATTTTTGATGTAATTTTTATTACATGATTCATTCCACCAATACATTTGGGATGTGGGCATCACAATGCAGGAGAGGCATGTAAGAGAGGTTTGCACATTCCACTGAATTAAATCATCTCATTTGTACTGCAGAATGAGGCAAATCGAACAGGAGGATAAATGAAGTTACCGTAAAAAAGAAAAAGTACATTTTAGCCCAATTGTCATGGTTACAATTTTTAAAACCTACATTTTTTTGTTTGTAGCTGCAGAGCGATTGCAGAGATTAACAATTAGAAAATGTGTTGCCGTGTCAAAGTACGGTGAGCTGAGAGTGGCCTCGACATGTTTGCTGGCGTTTGTTAGTTTGCCTCGTCCTTTGAGGCCTCGTCAAAGTTTTCAACGAGATCTGAGAACGGAAACAGGAGGGCAGAAAAAGGTGAGAGGACGTCTCAATGAGCACAAGTTAAGGCATACAAATGACAATTACTAAAGATGAATAGAACCGAAAAAAATATCAGCTCTCTGGATGAATCCAGGAAGACCAGAAACGTCTAGGTCGGTCTGTTATGTACGGTTCATAATGTGGCTATTTCAATGCTTCATTACATTTACACTACAACTAATGCGACTCTTTGTTTTAAAAGGGGATGTGTAAACTTGCTCACCTGGAACCTCATCATCCTCCTCAGCGATCACCATGGGGGCTTTGTTCTCTCCAGCTGCGAGGGGAAGAAGAACAAACTGTCACAGACGGGAGTTCTCTATTGATTATTCTAAATAGTTTATATTTAATTCCCCATTAATACCCAAAATGTATTATTACCCACAATAAATATCAAAACTTGTCTGATCCATATTTAAATATTGTATTCAATCATCTTCTCTTAAAAATAAAAATGAAACAAAATAACAGACCCTATTTGTCAGACGCCTGATTTAAATCTAAAGGATTTTTGTGACACAGATTAATTTTAACGCCGTTTGTCATAGCAACACTTTTCCTAAACTGGATCTGTATTTCTACTTAAGTACTCGACTTAAAACAGTTACGACATTAATTGATTTCATCACTAAAGTATTATGCAGTTCAGATAAGCAAATGTGCTTTTGCATGAGTGTGGGGTCGAGGGAAATCATTTACAGACTGTAACAACAGTCTGTAACATCACTTTAAGCCATTGCATCGCTCACACAGACGGCTGTTTAAGTAAACAGAAAGCAGCAGTGTGTGTGTGTGTGTGTGGCTATTCCACATTGTTGGGTCTCAGTTTAAAGTACTTCCAGACTTTAGAGGATCAAAGGGGAAGTTTTCGAGCTGCAGCTTGTTCTCCTGGGGGAATGCAAGCTTTCACTGGGGGCATCTGCCCATTTTTTTTATAAATGTATGATGTGGTCGAATCGCTGCCGGCAGCCCTATGTGGGTACCTGGTCTGGGCAGGTTCTCCGCTAATCTCCTGAGGCTGGTGAGACTGTCGGCTCCCAGCTGGTTTAGGATTCCCGGGAGCATCTCTGTAAGCTGCTTGTTCTCGGCGTGCCCCGTGATCGTGAAGGTGTTGGCAGCCAAGGAGGCCTGAACCTTTGGGTTATTGAAGTGGATCACCGTCCCCTGGTTTGTGAACATATTCACCTACAGTGACACACAAATAGGAAAAAGTGAAGAGTTTGAGGTCAGAGGCAAAAAGAGTGAACCCTCCTAAAAGGATAAATGTCATGAAAAAAGCCCTCTCTGCGCACTGATTGCTGGGCATTTCGGAAAGAACACGCTGTACCTCCTCAATGCCAGAGATGTTGTTGACTCCCAGTTTCTTGAGGGAGAACTGCAGCTTCTTGTCATCTGCTGTTGCCGTCCTGTGCACCACCTTCTTCTTTCTGCGGGCCGACCCCTACAGAGCACAACAATGAGCCAATACATAAACCAATAACCTGATGATAAAAAATCTGGGGGGGACAAACAAACATTGTCTTAAAGAAGCTTGCCGGCACGCGTTCCAACTCACCTTGCCTCCTATGCGGACCTGCTCCTGCAGTTTGGCGAGCTTCTCCTGGTTCATTATGTACTCCTTCATCTGACACAGGGAACAACGTGCACACATAATTAAATTATATATTTGCACACGTCATTTTGGAAAAAACTAATTTCCACTAGACAGTGCTGGGAGACATATGAAAGCACCCACAGTCATACCACATCCATTGACGATATTTAACACTCACAAATCCTAATTCTGTTTTCTACTAACTCTCATCTGCGTGCATACTAATAGTTTGAACTTAAAATGAGAATCAGTAATAGAGAATGATGCAAAATGGTGCATACGTCTACACTTCATGGCACATAATGTGTGAATTCAACAGTCCATTAGCTACATGGGGGTTTGCGATTACAAGTGTCAAACCTACCCCCCCCCCCCCAATTGATTTGCCTGTTGGCACACCACACGAACAAGAATGCACAGCTGACAGAAGTTCAAAAATAGCTGCACACTTTTTAGTCCCGACTCAGGTTCTGCGTGAATGAGACAGAGGTGGTCGGCTAGAGTTCGTGGCTAGGTTACCGTCGGGCTCCTTCTGTAAAGCGAACGTAACGAGCCTATTTTCTTAGAGTGCCCTAACGAAAATATGTGCTGTTGGCTCGTGCTTGATCTTTCGGACACCGAGAATGGGAAGCTTATTTGTCTTAACCCGGGTTCTCAGAAATTATGACAACTGAAGCCTTTCGGCTCGTTAGCTAGCCGTGCTAGGCAGTTAGCTCAGGCCCCCTTCAAACTGATGCTAGCATCACGTTTAATTGACCATTTCTTCCACAGCGCGCAATGTGACTCGGTGAATTGTTATTTCTCTACAGAGTCAACTAACGTTATACGATGTTGGGGCATCTTAATAGGGCCACAGAGACGTGAACTGACCTGGGAGTGTGTAAACACGCGGGTCACACAGCCGATAGAAGCTCAGAGAAAAGAGCGAGGACCGGAAGTGACGCAGGAGATTGATAACTTGCCGGATGAGCCGTTTCTTAATTCCCAGTGTTTTCTAAATAATACAATCAGTCTAGTCATATTTGTAAAGTCGCAGAATCACGTACAACAATAACCTGCTTTGTTATACTGACTAAAAGTAGAAAAATCGAGAAACTTTTGAAAATGAATTGCATTTATTTTTTTTTATTTTTACGGTAATGGCTATACATTTTAACCATTTCATTAAATGAATCAATACATGGGCATATTAAAAAATTGTAATACAAGGTTCACAAGCAGTGCCATTGGAAATATTCAACAAATGAAGAAAGGAGTGTTCCTTTCAGTGAACAATAAATATATGACATCCACACCGGAAGTAGTCACGTTAGTAATCATGGCGTCCCCCAGTGCAGCGAGAGGCAACGTGATATCGCTGCACGTGAGCAACTCTTGGTTTACATCAAAAACCAACATCGGTATCAACTAATTTCAACAAATCCTACTTAAAAAAAGTAAGTCTGCTCTCCGGAATGTTTTTCGTTCAAATGTTAGAATGACCAGGAAGGGTTTAGTAGAAAATGCAAGACGGCTAAAGCTAAAGTGTGCTAGCTAACTCACTCCTGCTGTGCTGAGCACGTTGGCGCAGGCATCCTTTCGAATAAGCTGCTCTTACAGTAACACGAAGTGTAATGTTACCTGTTGGATGAAACGTAATTGTAACGTTAGACTTTCTTATTTCATTGAGCTCTTTGTGCGCATTAATAAACCGCAGTCCGAGAAGAAATCGAAACGGTGAAACCGTTAGCTTAGCCTTTACGGATAGCATGGCTTAGTCTTAGTGGGTTGTGATGCTATTCGGAGCGAAGTTGGAGTGTGAACTCCGTGCCATTCAGTCCGCATTATTGTTGGTTTTGATGTCCCGTTTCGCCGGTTGTTCTGTCGTGGATCAAGCAACAGATCAAGCTTTTAACTCCTTTATTACCATTTCATTTACGCAAGTTTATTTTCAATGGATTAGCTGTAAAGTGATAAAATCCACTTTGTCTGACTGTCGTATTCTGTGTATGGTCGTTACAAAAATAATAATCGACATTTTGTTGTTTTATCAACCTGGTTGGAGTATTGTTGGACTGCACGTGATGAGTTTGTCTAAAAGTACCTACTAGCAGGCCACTGAGGTTTAAGGGGTTAACTGGCCCGAGTGTCAAGTCTCTTGCTGTATGTTAATATCCATGTTTTTATTTTCTATGTCTCAACAGACAGTGTTACCTGATCGGCAGTGAAATGGCTTCGTTTAAACCTACCAAAATCCCACTCTATCCAAAACTAGGAGAGAAAGTCACACAGGACACGCTGTACTGGAAAAACTACAAGGTGAGCCTCTTCCACTGTGCGCTTAATGTTACCATGGGTGGGAAAAGCACATCCTCTGTGTTGTTTCTCAATCTTAACAATGCGTCTGTGTTTCTTCTCCCATAGGCTCCGGTCCAGATAAAAGAATTCGGAGCTATCTCAAGCATAGACTTCTCCCCGGTGGCTCCACATAACTTTGCCGTGACGGCATTCACCAGAGTATGTTGTCTTGAATTCAGCTTTGTTTGTTGGAATGACTCCCTCCTTGTGTCGGTATGCACAACTAACTCTGTTTCCCACACAGATCCACATATACGGGCCATTCTCCCAGGAGCCTGTGAAGTCGTTCACACGGTTTAAGGACACCGCGTACTGTGGGAGGTTCAGGTCGGACGGTCAGCTGCTCGTGGCGGGATGCGAGGACTCGGTGGTCCGGCTGTTTGATGTCGGCGGCAAGGTGGCACTCAGGATGTTCAAAGGGCATACGAAGTAGGTATCCGCCATGTGTCACTGTCCGATGGTGTGTTTTAGTTGTGCTGTCCCGGCCTGAAGAATGAGTGTTCTCAAATAAGGCCTGGAATCGTTGAATGATGATTTTTTTGAGTGATCCATCGTCTGAATTTCATGATGATTCTCAAGAATTCTGACAACCTTTAAACTGTCTGGCAGACTTGAAGCCTTCACACACTGGGGGTGTCTTTTTTTTTTTTTTTTTTTTTTTTGCATGTCAATATACTTTTTAAAACTGTTTTTGTTATAAATACTTTCACAGGGCTGTGAAAAAGCAACTTTTTTTTTTTTTTTTTTACTCATTCTGTTCTTACCTTTCACAATAAAAGCCCTAGAAATATACACTGTTTACCAGGGGGAACATAATTTCCCCTTTAGAGCATTTCATTACAAGGAAACTCAATAAAATAGCTTATAGTAGCTTAGGCTGTACAGCAATTTACCTCACAGTCTGCCAGATGCTGCTCTGGGTCAAAGGGATCCTGGTAGTTTGCAAATCTATTCCAACGTTTTATTGAAAAAATGCTTCAACTGTTGCAAATTTGCATCGCTGCGTGTATGAATAGTTTTGATGCAAAACATTTGCAAGTGAGTATCGCTCACTTTCGCATCAGCCTTTATAAACGTCTGGTCATGGAAGTGAACTGATGTCAATTCTGTCTCGTTTCATTTTCTGCTCAGGGCGGTCCATGTCACAGACTTCACCTCGGACAGTTACCAGATTCTCACGGGGTCAGACGACTACACCTGTCGACTTTGGGACATCACGAATGCCAATGAGCTCAACAGCTACAAAGAACACACGGACTACATTCGCTGTGGCGTCGCGAGCAAACTCAACAGAGATCTCTTCATTACTGGTGAGATGGAGGCGAACATCCTTAGGAATAGTTGAAGCGAGGACAGTCAATTAACTTTAGCATCAATGATTTGGTGCATGCCAGAAGTGTTGGATCTTTTTGGAGCCAGTAACACTAATGAATGTTATCTCTCACAGTGGCTCTTAGATTAAACTTAAATAACAGGAACAGAAAAAAATCTGCCTACATTTGACTTTTCATCACTAGTAGAACTGCAACTGTGGCACTTACCTCAGTATTCCTATCCACATTCATATTTTAAGACACTACAAAATGGAGGCACAGAGAGCCGTTGCAATGGAGACGACACGCGTCTCGTCGCGTTGGTGTAAACTTGCCGGTATCAGAATGTTGCAGGCCAACGCATTGCAAATAGTTGCAAGTTCCAATTCCTCAAGTTTAAATCTCTGGTCCGAGCTGGGCTCGAGATGGACTGCCACTGCAGGTCGAAGGACTTTTTTCTGTTTTCGTGTGACTAAACGAGTGTTTTTTTTTTTTTGTTTTTTTTTTTGTTTTTTTTAATTTAAATCCTAGGATCCTATGACCACACACTGAAACTGTTTGATGCCAGAGCAGATAAGAGTGTGATGACCATGGACCACGGCCAGCCAGTGGAGAGTCTGCTTCTCTATCCCTCTGAGGGGCTCCTCGTCTCTGCAGGTAGTCGGCCGTTCCAATCATCATGTTTTCAGACAGAACATCCAGAAAAGGCGCCCACATTTTTATTTATTTATATTTAAGGGTCCCTCAGCCTTGTTCAGGCTGTCGTTTGGACTTAAATTGTGACAAAAACAACCTGAACTGCACTCGTATGCTTCATTATATTAACAAATGTTTATCCAAGGCATTACGATTATTCTTGTCTCTCTCTTTAGGTGGGCGCCATGTGAAAGTGTGGGATCTGCTAAAAGGGGGCCAGCCTCTGGTGTCGCTGAAGAACCATCACAAAACTGTCACCTCTTTGTGTCTCAGCAGCAACGGACAGAGACTGCTGTCAGCTTCTCTGGACAGGTACGGGGACAGGTGTATGGAAAGCATGCATGTCTGACATCTAGTTTTTATTATACGAACCCGACCTAATTGAAATCCTCTTTTTATTTTTTTTAATTTATTTATTTTTGTCTTGCAGGCATGTAAAGGTGTACAATACCGCCAACTACAAAGTTGTCCACAACTTTGACTACGCTGCCTCCATCCTCAGTCTGGCTCTGGCTGTAAGAAATCCTATTTTTGTCATGTTTTGAAGATGAATGAAGTGTAGAAAGGTGCGTTAAAATAAGCAAAGCAACATTTATGAGGATAACAAAGCAGTTGGTTACGTCACCCAAGATATGAAACACTTCATCTGGATGACTATGGCTTATAAATGTGCAACAAAATAAAACCTCACATCAGGATTTGCTTGTATCGGAGGTGCATCAGAGGGAGCAGTTTCTGCAGCAGCCAACAGAAATATCTCGTAATGCCAGAGATTTAAATCAATAGATGAAACGGTACATCCTCTCTTCTTGGTGTTGGCATGATGAGAGTGTAGGGTTTCCAGATCACAAATTTTTTTTTTTTTTGTTTGCTTTGAGTGCTTTTGGATTTTCCCTTTCAATCAGGCGGCAACCTCCTGGTCTGAGGGGAAGTGCCTTAAACTTGCATTCTCTCTACTGACCAGCAGGGGGCGACTCCTCCGGTTGCAAAAGAAGTCTGGTTGTATGGAAGTCTATGAGAAAATGACTCTACTCCTCACTTGATTTACAGTATGATGTTCATTTAGTAAATTATGGTCCATTTAGAGTCAAATAGACTATAAAGCATAGTGTTCTTGACTCTGTCCCAGCCGTAGCCATGGTCTAAACCAATACCAGGTGATGGTGTCTTCTGGAGTTCTTGTGCATAAAAGGAACCGTTGAATGATGATCTCTTGAGTGATCCATCGACTGAATTTCCTGATGATCTCAAGAATTCTGACAACATTTTAAATCATTTTACAGACTTGGTGAACTGTCGTAAAATGTCTTAATTTCATTCATTCCTACTGGGATTCTTGACAAGTCAAACTTTTTTTTTTTTTTTTTCTCCTCAGCCGGACGACGAGTCCATCGTCGTGGGCATGACCAATAGCATCCTGAGCATCAAACACAGGAAGAGCCCCGAAGAGTCGAAGGAAGTCTCCGGCCAGCAGAGGCGACGGCCATCGTTTCGCGTTTTCGTGAAGGGGAAGAACCACGCCCCCAAACAGGTCTGTTCACACCTGGTTAACATGCTGAGGCTGGCAGTCTGAATCGAGACGTTATCTACTGTGTGTTTATTCCCCAACAGATGCCTTATCTCTGCGTTTATTATAAAGGGCTTTTCTTTCTCACCGTTTTTGATTAATTTCCTTGTTTCTCCTCTTCAGGGTGATTATCTTGTCAGCAAGCCAGTGAAACAGTATTTAGCCAAATACGACAAGCAGCTGAAGAAATTTAATGTTTCGAAGGCTTTGGATACGGCTCTAGAGGTATGCATTTTATGTATTTTACAACATTAAATGTTAAATCAGTTGGTATCATTTTCTTGAATTTGCTTCTCGTTTTTTTTCGCAATACAAAGCCGTGATATGCTACTTTGTACAAAGTGAACTCGCTGTCCTGGGAATGCGGAAGCCGAAAAGCAAAGTCGCAAAAAGGTGGTTTGATTTGAACTTTTATTGATAAAGCACATTTAATTGTATTTACAGACATGGACAAGACTGAGAAAGCCTGAGATCACGGTGGCTGTTATAAAGGAGCTGGATCGAAGAGGAACGTTGAAGAACGCTCTGGCGGGACGGGATGAGCAGGGGCTCTCTCGCTTGCTCAACTTCCTCATAGGGTAAGAAGCAGAAAAAAAAGTCATCGCTCAAGCAACCAAGTGTTGAAATAACGTGTTTCCAGATGCTTTGAATTTGGGAGCTTGTACATGAAAATATTTTTGCATGTACCCTTCAACTTTTTCCGCGTCTCCTCCAGGAACGTGGTCGACCCCAGGTTCGCCCCCGTGCTCGTGACGGCGGCCGAGATGATCCTGGACGTCTATAGGCAGATCATCGGCCAGTCGCCAGTTGTGGACCGCCAGCTGCTGCGTCTGCAGGACCTGCTGGAGAGAGAGATCGACTACCAGCAGGACCTCCTGGAGGTGCTGGGCATGTTGGACACCATGTTCGCCTCCTCCCTCCCCAGGATGGCGGTGCCGTGCCCCGGCACCAGCAGGGCTAACGGCCTGGCCCAGCGAGAAGCGGGTACCTTGAGACCACAGCTTCAGGCCACCTGAGGCTTATAGGGGGAGGGGGGGGGGGGGTGGCTTCAGATTTGAGTTAGAGTGCCTTCACAACTCTAAAACCTCTTTTCAAAACAATCGGACACACACTTCCCGTTGGCACAGGTTTTTAAGAGACTGACAAACCCATGGGCGCATCACTCTGGTGTTTTTAACTCCAGCGCAACAAAAAGAGGACATGCATTTACTGTGTGAATGGAAAGTGTTTTTTTTATTGGACATCTTGTAATTACACTTTGTAAATGTAGTGTGTCTGCGTTTGTGTTTCGAATGATTCAACTGTTAATGTCTGCTTTGTGTTTTCATGTTTGGCATCTGTAAATGTTTCATAAGCAGATATAAATAAATCTTTGTAATATTGAAGCTGACCCATCATGATTGTGTTGAAATAGTTTGAATAAGTCTGTGGACAACACAATTTCAACATGTAGGTGTCTGTTTTATCTCCGTCCACTAGAGGTCGCTGTAACCTCAAATAAACTTAACTTTCATGTTTATGGAGGATTTTGCATTGGGGAAGACGGGAGAGCATCAACAGAGACCGAGGAGGAGGAGGATGTTGCTGCCGCTCACTGGTGAAAACAGCGGCGGCACCGACCCAACGCCATACCTCAACTTGTAGCTCCTAACACTTGAATTAGCAGCTAGCAAAACAAAAAGCAGTGTGTCCGAGAGTTTGGCCCTCTGTTTCCTGCCGAATTTAAGCGGACTGTCGGTGTTTTCTTCTGCCGGAGTTTGAGCTCCTGTGAACGGAGGTACGTCAATAATGTGAACCCATTTCTAACTAACGTTAGCTGTTGACTTTTTTTTTTTTTTTTTTTTTTTTTTTTTCTTTAAACGTGTCCGTCTCTTACATTATTGACAGTTTGCTGACATGTCAAATGGTGAAATGTAGCCGTGTAAAAGAGCCTCACTGCGGCTAAATAGGTCAACATTGAACTGTGAGTCCGGTTCATTTGAGACGTTGAGCAACAGCACAAATGTTTCTTAAAGCTAAACCGTCGTGTTTTTAGTGTCAAATATTGCGTCCACAGCCATTGTTCTGTGACAATAAAGCTAGCACTAAAACGGCACTAAGTCCTCTCCCCTCGGTGTGTTCATGCTCACTGTGACGTCTCTTATGATTATGAATATATATTTATAAATACGAAATGTAATGTGACTGCACAAGCAACACATTTCTTGATGAGACCTTACTCTTGTGTCCAGTTTATGAAGTGGCCACTGATGAGCAGATCTGAACCCTGCAGCACCGAGACTCAATCGATTTCCTACTTTAGTTCACACACACAGAAGTAAGGTACGCACTGCCTTCAAATCAGATTGGGGTCATATTTGGTGTTCTGGTCTCCAAACAAGGTACAAAAGCATCATTAAAATCATTATTCACACGCTTCAGATCAAAAGATGATCCGGTTTCCATCGGTGGACCGCTGACTCTGCTTGGCAGTGGCACAGATGAGTTTTAAAAAAATGATAATCTCTTCAGGATCAGAGGAGAAAGGCAGACTAACCAGAGGAGTCCCGTGGGGCTACACTGATGTGCCTTTTCCTTGTGTCTCTCTAAGATGTCTGTTTTTAATGTCCACATTTACCTGCAGTTGCCGGGAGCTGGGGATGGAGCTGAGCAGGAGGAGAGTGCCTCTGTATGTGAGTATGCGCTCCAGTTGTGGAGTCGGGCTTGAGACCAGCTTCTCCGACTAATCTTAAAAAGAGTTGGTTATCCCTTTGGAAAAATCTCTGCAAATTGAGTTTGCAATGCCGTGAGAGATCAGCAGCCTCATTTATTTATATATATAAAAACGTTTTTTGTGCTCGGGACCAATGCTTAATTAAAATGCATCAAATGTATCTGAAAGAAATAGTTTTCTGCCCATGCATCATAGCTGTACTTTATTATTCAAGTTCACTAAAGTCACTGAGTGTAAGAAAAATAAGATTTGGCGCCATCATGACAGCAGGCCGGTGTTTTTGACTTTGATCAAACGGGGACTTTAATGGTCTTTGAATGAAACGTCTCAAGGTTTCACTGTTGGACTATTTGAGCACTGAATCATAGTTTCATAGAGTGACAATAGCAGCCTGGCATTTGTGTGTATTAATTAGCAAATCAGTAACTCAGTGTTTTGTTCATAGTGATGTTTTTTTGTGTGTTTTATTCACTCAGAGTTGGAAAAGGAACTTAGTATTTGCGATCAGTTTGATTTGTGATGTCTCTGGTTGTCTGGAGGTTAAGCTGTATTCAAACAGGGCGGGACTGCGATCAAATATTTCTTTATTGGTTTCACTTTAGTGTTTTTTATCAACTCTGCAAACAGGAATAAGAGCTAATGCTTCTAGATCAAAAGGGCTCACAATGTATTCAGTCAATTGAATCCTTTCTTAATGTGGCATGTACTCAATGCCTTTTTCCTTTTAGTCAAGATTACTTAAAGGTTACCAAATGTTTGTGAATGCTGAATGACCATGTAATGAAACACTATACTCAAAACTGTAATACATAATATAAATGAATGAACGCATTATGCAACAACTATATTTTAACAGCAGAGGGAAGCTAGTGAAACTGAAGGAAGTTTTCAAAAAGCTAATCAGAGCCATGCTAGCAACTCGGCAAAAATGATAACAGCGGTGTGCTAAGGTGCTCGCAATGACAATGCTAACATTTGTAGCCTGTTAGCATGCTAACGTTGACCAACTGGCCCTAAAACATAAAGTGCAGCTGGATTTAATAGTAATTAGTTTGCAGGTATTTAGTAAAAAAACAACTAAAGTTTATTAATTTTGTGGTCAACATCTGGTCAACCACGCAGAGGTGAGGAGCCTCAACAAGGAGAAGCTGTGTGGGAACGACTCAATTTTGAAGGTTTTTTATTTTTTTTATTTTAAAAGTTGAGTGTAGCTTAAAAATACTGAAGTAAGCTGACAAGTGTTTTTCAGAAGTCTGGTCCACAGCCATGCTAGCAACTCAGAGGCTTGGAGCTAAATGCTAACGGCGGCTTGCTAGATGCTCACAATGAAGATGCTAACATTCGTAGCCTATTAGCATGCTAACATTTACTATGTGGCCCTAAACATGAAGTACAGCTGGATTTAATGGGAATTAGGTAAAAAACACCTTTATTAATTAGTTAAGTTAATTCGTTTATTCATTTTATGTTCAACATCTGGTCAGTCACACAGAGGTGAGGAGTCTCACTGAGGGAAGAGGAGAAGCTGCGTGCACATTAAAGAATTTGTGTTCAACCTGATGCTCCCTCTGTCAAAGAATTGACCAGACAAAATTGATAAATGAACCTTGAAGGTGGGATTAAGTGAGACGGAGAGAGAGAGGATTACTCTGTGCCTCTATGTGAAACGGTGAGAGAAGTAAAAAGAAAAGCCTTTCGGTTTTATAACGCATTAGGTCAGCTGATTCAAGGCTGATGGACTCTCATACTCTTTCACCATCCAACACTAATTGGAGATGTTCATTGCATTTCAAGTCTTAGAATTCTACATTTTTTGGGTGTCCCTTCTTTTCTTCAACGTGCCTCCTCTGCTCCTGCCTCCGTCAGTGGGTGGACGTGTGTCCCACAATAACCCACACGGTGTGTGTTGTGGGAGGCCACTGTAGTTTGACAAGTTGATATCTTCCACAATAGATTTATTTCCCTGCAACTGGTAGATGTTGGTGGAAAGCAGCAGCTACAAAAAAAGGATGATTTTTATTCATTTATTTTTTACTATTATTCCGAGGGAATGAAACTAAAAGTGGGTGTTTAATCTTTATATTTAAATCGTAAAAAAACAAAACTATATCTGCCTTGAAGCTCAGTTAAAGTTGCATTGGAGATCTACGCACTGCAGCTATTTATCCACAGTATGGGCATGGGCCCAGAAATGTTTAAACCTGCACCAATCAATATTTTTAATCCAGCAGTGAGTTAAATTACTTTTTGTAGTGGGAAAGGGGTTGCTCGTTGTGACTCAAAGATAATTATTATAGCCGTAAATTGAGGTTTCCTCAGCTCTACAACGCTCGTGAGCCTCTTTCAGCTAGTTGTCCCGGTTTGATGGCTGCAGCTTTAAGACCAGTTCATAATCCGTGTCTGTATGACCGTGAGGGTTTTGGTCCAGTTCCCTTCCACAATCCAGTCCAGTTGGTGGCTTGCGATGCTCAAAATTCAGGTCGTACTTGTCTGTGTATTATCACCAGTTAAGCCCAACAGTGACTCATCGCTTTCAGGCCTGGCATACAGAAACACACAGGTAATTCTCATGAGCTGATTAGAGCTCCATCAGTTTCTCTCTCTGTCTGTGAGCAGTGTACTGCTGTTAAGCTTTCTATTTTAAACTGTTGATTGATTGAAAAATTCAGCCGTTTCAGGTTTAATTCATAAACAATCCTTCAGTCTGTCTGTCTGTGCATGTCGCTCTGTGTGTTATCACCAGTTATAGCCAACAGTGACAAGTTCAGACACAGAAACACAGGTGATTTGGGTTAGCTGATTAATGCTCAATCAGTGTCTACTTGTTTCTGATTGGTGCATCGCTTTTAAGCTCTTTTGGGACTCTCTGAACTTTTTCTCACTCACACAGACATAAACAGGGACATTCATGCTTTTATTCAACTTGTTGTCAACCATTATGCTTTTAAAAATATCATCCTTATCTCTCTCTTATGCTTACATTAAACTGGTTTTAAATATTGTGCTTTTTTCATCATAGGCTGTGATTGCAATTATATTACATTTGTATTTTTTCAATTCTTTAGACAGTCCATCCTAACTTCCAGCTTTGACAGCATTACAGTTTAGTTTCCAGCATTTTTAGCAATGTACTCAACTTTTAGCTTAAACCAGTTCTTCCAGTTTTCCATTTCTATTCCCAGGTTTTTCAGCAGTGCAGTGCCTTGTGCTTTAATACTTCTGCATTTTCACCAATGTTGTGCAATTTTAGTTTTCAGCATTCACAGGCATCTTCTGCAGGAAATGCATTTTCTAGTTGAGTAAGTTGTCCTGTTTTTGTAAAAAAAAAAAAATTAAATTCCACAAAAAAATGTAATTTTGGTACTAGTATCAAAACTACGCTACTGTATTAGCTCATGTATCAAATCACTTCAAATGGCACCCAGCCCTAGATAAATCAATGACCTAGAAACAGCTCAACCTGGACCTCTTAAGTGCGGATGTAGCGTCTAGTGAGGCTGGCACAAAACATGATGTCAAAGGGTTTTTAACATATTGTGACTGCTCTGCCCTATTTCACCTTCTTCTGCCTCAGATCAGAAGTCTAAAGTGTTCTGGCCTGTTGGGATCAGAGCACGTCTTTACAGTAGACACCAAGACATTCCTGTTTTTATTGAGGGTAAATGTTTTATTGTACCCTCGAGAGGCATGCTGTCAGGGGATTTGGTGTGCTTTTGGAAATGTAGAACACTGGATCAGAATAGAGTCCTAATCTGAAGTGAGCACGCGTCTTCAGGAATAGATATATGTTTTGCTCTCTAGCGTCATGATGCTTTCCCTCTCTCGCTCCTCTGTTTCTCAGGGCCAGGCGAAGGTGTTTGCATTGCTGGAGGGTTACGACTCGGTGCCGGAGGACGCAGAGGTCTACGTTGTTCTGGAAGGGTCCACTCTGGTCCATGTTACCAGGGCTCAGAGTGACGTCATGCTCTGCTTTATAGTGCCGGGTATGTTCATATGTATGTTGCGCACTGTAGTGCTGTGCTATTGTATGCATTTTGGGGTAATTTGCTACATTAGAAAGGTAGAATTTATTTGAAAGTTCAAATCTTAAACTGCACATGCTGACAACCCCAGGTTTCACAATCCTGTCTGATGTACTCAGGAACAGTAGATCGCGTTTTCAATCTTCACACACACACAGACAGACAGACACACACATACACACACAGTCTGTGACTTGAGGTCTGGAAAGGCACAGAATCTTATCAGCTTCCTCTCAGGAGGGAAACGGCTCCATAAACAATACGTCAACATTACCGAGCCTCTGTGTAGGTTGACACAGACAACAGGCAGTCCTGCAGGCTTGAGCGCTCTCTACGATAGTGTAACTATTAAAAGCAGGTCTCCTTCTCCATCAAAAGAGAAGAAGAAATGCCTTTAATTAACATAAAATTTAAGACTATTTTTAACCACACTCAATGATTTTCTAAGGCACTTCCCTGGACTGAAATATAAAAGGCATATTTTTATTACCGGTGTTTTCTGTATTCTGTATAATTTAAATTATTTTTCATTCATTCATCAAAAACCACGAGTGTTTTTAGATTTCCTGCCCCATCAATTTCAGCTCATTTTATCGCAGTGACTTGAAACCTGTTGAATCATTTGTCTGCTGTATTTCTGTATTTTTTTTGTTGCACGAGAACGCAGCTCCAAGCAATGAACTTATCATAGAATTATGACATAAACCCTGAGTAAAGTCTGTCTTTTTGCTGTGTCGTGTCCGTCTTTAGGACACAACCTGGCTGAGGTGGTCTCTGTCCAGGCCTACCTGTGCTCTGAAGCCACACCCGTCGCCTGGGTGGGCGGGGCTTCACTGGAGTATGTCCAAGATGATGCTCAGGTAGTGACGACGATACAAATACGATCTTGTACATCTCACGTAGGTTTGTGCAACCCTGTGGTAAAAAGTTACACACATACATTCTAGTACACAGATTCTACATGCTGTGCAAAAAGAAGACGCACGCCTCGAGTCTCCAAAGGTTTTTTTGCATTGAAAGCAAGAAAAATCACCAGTTGCATAGCAGTAGTTTTGACCTGTTGCTGTTTTTTTTTTTTTTTTTGCATTGCACACCATTTATCACAGATTGTATCTTAATCATGAACTACTTCATTTCTCAGGACCTGGCAGAGCACCTGGTAATCCACGGGCATTGTCTGAGCTCCACGGATCACAAGGAGCTGAGCAGCCTCTTCAACCTGGGCCAGGAGAGCTCTCGCTGGGCTATGGATCGCCGCGTGGCCCTGGCCATGGCCAATCTGGATATCCCCCGAAGCTGGAACGTACTGGGGAGCCACGGTGGAGACGGTGAGAACGGGATTATTCTATCACGCTGAACAGGCTTTCCTGCACAGATGTGTTGATCAGAAGCACATCGTGGGCAGATGCAGGGAAGGAATGAAGGTGAACTCTTCATCTCCCCCCACACCCCCCTCCTCCCCCACCATCATTCCCATTTGACATCCTTACTGGGCTGAAATCGGAAGTGAACACGGTCACATGTGTGCTTCTGTTGAATTCATCAAAGCCAATTAAGCAGCATGTAATGTGGTTAATAGAGCCTTTCCTTCTGGAAGTAGCCCTAGGCAGAGCTCAATAAATCTGTGTGTGTGTGTGTGTGTGTGTGTGTGTGTGTGTGT